TGCCTTAAATACAAAATTTCAAAGTACCTACAAACTTTAAAATTGTTGTTATGACAATTTTTTCTTAGAAGTTTTAAAAAGAACTTTCTTTTTATCCTTTTCTTGTATTGATTGTTTCATAAAAACATTCTAAAAGAATTGCTGATTTTAACCCTGCTTAATCCGAGCGTAGACCGACCTTTAACTGACCGTCCACCATTTATCTGGCCCATTGTATCTCGACAGGTAGTCCACGAAGATACGTTGGTTTTTCCGGCGAAATTCCGCATTTTGTTTAATTTTTATGTAAAAAACTAATAAACCGATATTTGATTGTGAGGTATCGTTGAATTCGTATTGTTTTATTCTTTCGAAAGATACCATAATATACTGGGTGTTCCATTTAAAAAAACAAAGCTGTTCCATTTTCCGGAAAAACTAAAAGTGATACCAAAATTTTCCATAAGAAAATATTTGTGCTGATAAAATATAGAAACTGACGTTTTTTTGTTCATATTGATATCTCAATCTGTTCAGAAGTTAAACAGGGGGGGGTTACTTTACGCTAGCACTGTATATATTGTGATGATCATTTATTTTTTATCAAAACACAATTTTTAAATATTTAACAGAATATTTCGGGTAGCAGGTTCAAATAAAAATTCCTTAATTCAAAAAATTGTCTTAACACTTTATTTACTATTATTTTTTTTTCGTTTTCTGTTTTCAGGACTTCTTTAATTTTTTGATATTAACGCCACCTCTTAATGCTATCATAAGTGTGATATTATTACAACTTCCCCATATTCAAAATTGGAAAATTTACAAACGTAGATGACGGAAATTTTATAATTACAAATATAACACGATCTTAAAAAAATAAAAAATAGGAATTTGATCTTTCTATTATTATCGAATTATCCAACAAAATTTCCTTCAATCTCTCTTTACTTTCCTCCTTTATATGAATCTTCTTTATCAATTCTTCTATATACCATCCCTTATTTCCCTCGTCAACAATTATATTTTCTTTTTTATTTTCATTTATTTTATTATTTTTATTTTCATTATTTATATTTACATAATTTATTTCTTCCCCATATTCATCATATTTATTTTCTTTATAAATACTTTTATAATACTTTTCCCCTTTATTTATATTATTAATTCTTTTTACATTTACTTCATTTATATTCCTTTCAAAATGCTCATTCTTTTCTTTCTTAACACTTTCTTTATCTTCTTTTTTATTCTCAATCATTAAATGACAATATTCATTATTTGTTTCCAATTTCATACAATTTTTACCAATTCTCAATTCTTCATTGCATGGTTGCAAATATTTCAAATTTTTTTATGTTTTCAAGATAATTTTCTAAATTATCGATTGTTTTTGTTATATCGGTATTAATTATTGATATTTCAGCAGCTGTATCTATTATTGCTTTAATTTCGATATTTTAAACTTTAATTTTAATAATTGGGATATAATTATATTGTATTAAATTAGTTTCTTCATTAAAATTGAAAAAATTGAGGGTTATCGTAAAGTTTGGTATGAATTTTGAAGGGATTTATTTTACCTAAGTTTTTTACCTTCTGTTGGTACAGTCAGCGTTTTTTTTAAGTATTATTATTTTTATGACAACAATAATACAAACATGGACCAAAAACCGTCAAAATTCCATAGCTTTCTAATAAAAAAACCTGCTATTCGTGCATGTTTTAATAAATTTCCCAATATGAGGAAAACTACAACAAATAGGTGTAGGAATGTTTATAGATGATTTGTAGAGAATTAAATTTCCTATTTGATAGGCTAATAAAATATCGGGCACTCCATTTACAGTTTTCGATTTTCTTGATATTGAATGTGGAAAACAATAACTCAATTTTTGACCACTCTGTATAAGATACTCTGATACAACAAATGGCAATCTATTGGATAGCATCTGCAGAACAGTCGTGCCAATTTATAGCATTTTTGAATGAACGTTGGCTGAATAATGGGTTTCTAAACAGCATGGTGAAATTTGCCAAAAAAAACCCTCAAACCAAAATAACTCGAATACGAAATACACTACCAATAACTTTTATCAAAGTCCACATATTTTTTGCATATAATTAGAAGGTGTAGTAAAAACTACAGCATTCCATTTAAAATAACTAAGTTGTGGTGTACTTCCGGTAGACCGGAAGTGGCGGCTATCTTGAAAATATTTTATATCGAAAGCTTAGGATGATTAACCCCTACTATCAAAATTTCAAAACTGTACCAATAGTGGAATCTAAAAAAGTTCTAACGAACCAGTCACGTGAGACACCTGTATGTGTATATTTTAAACCTTATAGAATTATATATTTTACAGTATTATAAATTTTAAACCATACGATAAAATGTATCGTATTTAGTTTCGTGGCTTTTTATCAAACTGAAGTTATCGGGGATGAATACACAAGAGCGTGACTTTTAATCGGATAATTTTATTTTTACACGAACGTTTTCGAAATCAAAAGTATGGTAAAATCGCGACAGCTTTAACTGGATTTAACTAGATTTAGCTGGAGTTTAATTTTTATTATTCACCTGAATTTTACATTAATTAAGAGTATATAAAATTAAATAACATTTCGTCGTAATATAATCTACAAGCATCCACATTTTAACTTTTTAATTTTTTTTATTCCATTTTTTTTCTTAACTCTTTTACTTAAACTAATATGCATACGTGCAGTTTAAAATTAAATTAAATTATGACCTTCAAAAAATAATTGTCCTAATAAGTCCCAATGGGAATAAAATTTCGATTTGGAAAATTTCTCCGATACCTTTAATCTTTAATAATGATAACCTTTAACACGACGAATCCCTTTAAAAGAGCTTGGATTTCAAGAAGAATTCATATAATCTCTCACACCACCACTGAGAGCCATTAGTTAGCAAACATACCTATCAATCGACTAAAAGAAAATGAAGACTATAATATTATTAGGCATGTTGATTGGTGCAATCACATGTAACGTTGTAAAAACCGAATCTGACGGTAAGTTGTATTCGATTTATTTATTTTTTTTTTTCGAATTTGATTTCAATTTAATGCACAGTGTGTCCGTAAAGTAATATATTACTATGGATATTTCGTATTAGAGAGGTTAACTACTTACTAAATCAGTTTTTGATACTTAGGAAATTGTTACAATCATTGGTTACCATAGTTACTCATGGCTACTGCTATTTTCATCATGTCAACAAATCTGAAGTAATTAAACTTTAAAGTAATTTTTCTCGAAAATTTTCTTATGTAACCAATATTAATATTGACTGTAATAGGGGGGATCTCCGTTTGAAAAAAATATCGATGACGTCATAACTGGTTTAAAAATTGCAACAAATTTAAATCTTTATTATGATTTTATCGCCTATATCCATTACTTTACGGACACACTGTATATTTAAATTAAGTTTTTGTTTGGACATATAACTTATATATGTATGTATTTTATTCGATTACAATAAGATGCTGCACCAAGTCTCGAGAAAAGTGATCGTTTTTTGGTCAAAATGCCATTCGTTTCGTTTGTTAGTACAACAATCGATAAACATCCTTATCAAGCGTCCATACAATATAGCGGAAGACATATTTGTAGCGGCGCAATCATTTCAAGTCTATACATTTTGACTACAGCTCAATGTGTTGATCGGTAAGTTGATGATTTTGTTTTTATATCAATAGTTTAGAAATTTAAAGAAATTTAACACTTTTATATCAATAGTTGATTTTATTAGATTCGATTTGTTGTAGGAGATCACTTGATCTGTTGAGTGTTCGCGTCGGTGCGACCGAATACAATCGTGGCGGACGAACAGTTTCCGTTAGTTCAATCAACATAAATCCCGATTTTAATGCGAGAACGTATGACTATGATATATCCATTTTAAAACTAACATCGTCCCTCGCCTTTTCCAATACCATAAAATCAATTGACATGATTGCTGCCGGTGAGGATGTGGAACCGTTGACTAAGGTCATCGCGGCCGGCTGGAATAGTGCGACCAATGACGATTTAAGCTCTAACGAATTAGTTATCGTTTCGGAAAAGGAATGTCGTCGTTTGTACGGATTAAATGCCATCATGCCAAATATGATATGTGCAGGCGGTGGAACCGACGGAGTTACCGGTGGCGAAGATACTTGTCTCGTAAGTTAAACTCCTCGATAACGTTTTATTTTTTTATTATCTGTTGTTATTATTGCTGCTATAACTGCTATTGTTGTGATTATTATTATTATTGTTGTTGTGGTTGTGGTATAAAAAATTATGTTTCTCTTCTTACAGATTGAACCAGGTACGACCTTGATTGTGGAGAAAGCCACTAAAGATTCAGCTGGAGTAACGTCTGTCAAACCGATATTAATTGGTTTAGCCGCTTGGGGATACGGATGTACTCGTCCGCAATATCCGTACGTTTACACGTCAATTTCTAGCAATCGAGAATTTATTCGCAAAACGATATCTTAAAAAGAATGCAATCTAATCTATTGTTGTTGATGATGTTGACATCGTGGAATAAATGATCTTTCTTGAATTCAATTTTTTGTAGTCTTCTGTACGAAAAAAAATACATAAAATTACATTAAAAATCAAAATTACAGAAATATTACCTATACAGTGCTTCCCAAAAATAACGGATAAATTCGATAAAACCATTAAAAACAGTTTACGAAAAATCGCTGAGACGGGTCTACAGATTTAATATCCGTACGTTTACACATCAATTTCTAGGAATCGAGAATTTATTCGTAAAATGATGATCGTGAAATAAATGCCATGTTTCTTGAAAAAAGAAATAAACGATGTTTCTTGAATTAAATAGTAGTCTTTCTTTACGAAAAAAAAAAATAAATTAGTCACAGAATAATAATAACAGTCACAGACTGTGTCATCTTCTTCTACTAAACTTACTGGTTGTAAGGTTAGAACAGTTGGGTATCAATGAATGAAATCTTCGGTAGTATATTCCTAGTTTTCCCCAACCATGAGATTTAGAAGTTTCTTCATATTGGCAACCTTTTCTTTTGAAATTGGGCGAGATACAGGAAGATTAGGGATCATAAACTCGGCAGCGGACTTTCCATTGAAACGATGCTTATATGGGATATAGAGCCTTATCTATCATTTTTTAATTTTATCGCTTTATGTATTTAAAGATAATGAGGAATTCTTAAGCGGGAAACTCGTTTCGAAAAATTCATGAATGAAATGATTAATAAACTCACGTTACTATAGTAACTAATTGTAAGTGGCATTTAACGTTTTCCTCGCCTACTATAATTAAAATTTTGAATTCTAATCTTTAATATTTTAGAATTAAAAAATAACGCTTATTTTCCCCAAACACACCATGCATGCAATACATCATTGGAAAGCTAAATATATGCTCTTTTCAGTAACACCATAATCTACTATAGTTTGCATTTAAAAAAATACAATTTTGTGTTGTATCTCAAAAATCATCAAATATTTTTTAAATTTTTCAACGGCAGTATATTCTACTTAGAAAAGTGTCTTAAGAACGCATCAACCCCATTTCTCTAATTTCAAAAATAAACAAAATATGAGCATTTTTTGAAATCACGAAAATTTGACTTTTTGGCTATAACTTAAAAACAAAAGAATATAGAGTTTTGGTGTTTGCTGGATTGGGATAGTCTCGAAAAAAGAGACCGGGACATGACACCTACTTTTTTCGTATCTCTTATAGTTTCTGAGATAGCCTATAATAACACCCAAATTTGCCCACCCTGTACAACCAATCAGAGTAACGATCGTTTAAAATTTCGACCAATAACATGATTTTTTAAGTGGATAAAAGTTACCTAGGTTTTAATAAATCATAAATACACAAGAGCTTGACTTTTAATCGGATAATTTTATTTGTCCACGACTACCTTATAATATATACCTTATGAATGAGTTTTCTAAAACAAAATGGTAGTCATTTTTCACGGAGTGAATAATAACGGTGACTAATAATCATTATTCACAGGTAGCCATCTTGATCAGACTAATAATAATTACTTGAAACGTTAAAAGTTCAAAAAACGTCAATTTAATTTAATTTTTTAGGAGTTTTTAAATGTTTGACATTAAAAAAACCTAAACAAATTCCTTTTTTCGTATGATTTAAGCATAAATTAATTAATTTTCGTAAAGAAAACGACGTTTTATAAAACTGACATTTAATTTTGACAAATTGTTGTGAATTTGGTTACAGTTAGTAACATTGAATTTGTGTCACATTGACGTTTAACCTTTATTCAAAAATTTATTTAAAAAATAAATTTATGGAATCAATTTCAATAGTCGTGGACAAAGTATAGTATTCTACTCGCATATAATCAGCTATTATTCACTCAGGTTAATTATGCCACTCGCTACGCTCGTGACATAAACTTAACCTTCGTGAATAATAGCCATCATTATATGCTTATATAATAATATACTACTATACACGAACGTTTTGTTACCATGGAAATAATTCGAAATCAAAAGCATGATAAAATCGCGACGGCTTTAGCTGGAGCGATTTTATCTTTTGATTTTGATTGAGCGTATTTTATTAATGCACAATTTATTGACAATTTTTAATTATTGATTAACTATTTTTGACTTAATTACACTTGTCAAAAATGTGACAGGTAAACAAAAGTATATACAGGGTGTATCTGAATGACGTGCCCAAACTGCAGGGGGTGATTCTTTAGGCAATTTTAAGGGTATTTTGATATATGAACCATGAGCGACTTGGGGAACCTAAGGAGCTACACCCCTCCAAAAATGGCGGAAAATTTTGGTTTAATTTTTTTTTTTCAAAAACCATAAACGCTAGGAACTCGAAATTTGGGGAATGTGTTTAACTCATAGTAGGGCACATTTTCACCCTATTTGTACTTTCAACCTATCCTTCTAAACTACTAAACGTAACCACCCCCTTTCAATTTTTGCTACAATTTTTTTATGCAGATGGTAAATACATTTAAAAAAAATTTACATAGATAGATGAAAGTATCCTAAAACTTTTTTGTCTCTCTAAGATTTTTCCAAAAACGACTAACTTTTGAGAAAATAAATAATAAAGCAAACACTGCCCGTTAAACAACGGGGTTGTCGATCAAAAGTTGAAATGAATTTTTAATGAAAAAATCTTAGTAGGCTTTGCAATCTTTGTCACAAATATTTTTGACGTTTAAATGTCAGTGTTTTTCTTATTATTATTATTGTTTTTCAAATTAATTTTTGAATAAAGTTCTACCGCATTTACGCTCGTTCACTCGACGTCTCAAAATTTTAAATAAAACAATAATAATAGTAAGAAAACCGCTGACATTTAAACGTCAAAAATATTTCTGACAAAGATTGCTAAGCCTGCTAAGATTTTTTCTTTAAAAATTCATTCCAACTTTCGATTAACAACGCTACAGCTTAACAGTTAGTGTTTGCTTAATTAATTTTTTTCTCAGAAACTATTAACTTTTCGAAGAACATCAGAGAGGCAAAAAAGTTTTAGAATATTTTCATCTATCTAAATAAAATATTTCCAATGTATTTATCACCGTCATAAGAAAAATCTAGACAAAAATTGAACG